TAACGTGAACTATGGATTTTAGTTCATAATAAAGTATCAATATTGTTTCATCAGTTATAACAAATGTCCCACAGGAATGTAAGATGTTAATAATAGGGGAAATTCTATGCAGGGAGAGAGGGAATGTATGCGAATTCTCTGAACTTTCTGCATAATTTTTCTGTAAACCTAAAACTGCTCTAAAAAATAAAGTCTATTTAAAAAAAAAAAAAGTGAGTCTTGCCAAAAACAAGGCCTGGGACAGGAGAGAGTCTAGGGTTTGCAGGGACTGATGAAGAGCTCACAGTGGCTGGGTTGCAGGCCAGTTGAGAGGAGTGTCAAAGAGACCGACCATGTGACTGCCCTGATGGACATTCACTCCGAAGTTCAGGCAGCTAGTGAGGGAAAAGCCATGACACATAGACCAAGGGAATGAGACCATTTGACCATTTACCCAAGACACAAAGAGAGCAACCTATCTCCACTCCACACCCCCAACTCTGAATTCCAGGATAAGAGAGATGGCCCACTTCTTAGCCAGCTCACCCTACCTTCCTGAGGGTTGCCATCTACTGTATACAATGGAGGAAAGGGTCAAGGAGCCCCCATCGGGGTTGTCTTAGTCACTCAGTGCTGCTGTAACAGAAATACCACGAGTGGATGGCTTTAGCAAACAGGAATGTATTCTCTCACAGTTTAGGAGGCTAGAAATCCAAATTCATGGCACCAGCTCCAGAGATGGGCTTTCTCTCTCTGTTGGCTCTGGGAGAAGGGCCTTGTCATCAATCTTCTGCTGGGTCCAGGAGTTTCTCAGCTCAGGGACCCTGGGTCCAAATGACATGATCCGCTCTCAGCTCTTCTTCCTTGGTGGTATGAGATCCCTCTCTTTCTGCTCCCTTCTCTCTCCTTTTATCTCTTGTAAGATAAAAGATGATGCAGGCCACACCCCAGGGAAACTCCCCTTACATTGGATCAGGGCTGTGACCTGAGTAAAGATGTTGCATCCCACTATAATCCTCATTAACATGACCTAATCCTGCCTCATTAACATAACAGACAGCTCACTCCCAAATGGAACCATAACCACAGGCACAGAGGCTAGGATTTACAACACATCACAAAATGGAAGATAATTACATCAGATCACAAAATGGAGGACAACCACACAATACTGGAAATCATGGCCTTGCCAAGTTGACACATATTTTGGGGAGACACAATTAAATTCATGACAGGGATAAAGAGTAGTGTGAATAGTGTGGGCAGAAGGAGTAAGAGAGGAGGTCAAAACATTGGACCAAGACTGTGGGAGTAGGTTTTGGGGCTCTTGGTGAATTGTGGGTAGTGAAGTGGAGGGTCAGAGTGGAACTAAGAAAAGAGGAAGCAGAGAGCTGGCTATTTTGAGTCGACTCTAAATTCTGGGTTTAGGGGCCAGATGTGAAGAGACCTTTTATTTCTGTTTAAGTTTCTCAGGCATGGCCATGAGCCTAGCAAAATGGTCAGGGTATGAAAGCATCAGCCCTACCAGAAGACCATGCATCTGTCTGGAGTTTTGCCTTGGGAATCTTGTGAATGATACACCAGGTGCTGGAACAGGAGGAACGCCAACCGAGTCGGAACCTCAAAGGGAGAGAAGTCTTACCAGCAGAGCTCTCTTTCTAAAATCTGTTATGGAGTCCCATGATTAGAGAATAAAGTTTAGACTTTTAGCAAGGCCCTGCTTGACTGATCCCAGCCCACCTGTGCAGCCTCATTTCCTGCCATCCTCTCCAGGTACTACATGCTCCAGCCAGTTCAAATTTCCTGCTGCTCTACAATCACACCAACTCTTCAGCCTCTGTGCTTTTTCTTATGCCATTCTTTTGCCTGGGATGCTGTGGTGGTTAATTTTATGAGTCAACTTGGTGAGGCTGTGGTGTGATCGCTTGGTCAAATACTAGTCTAGATGTTGCTATGAAGGTATGTACATGTAGTTAGCATTTAATTCAGCAGTTTGTAATTGACTGCTAACCTAAAGGTTGGTAGTTGGAACATACCCAGTGGCTCTGTGGAAGAAAGGCCTGGCATACTGCTTCCATAAAGATTATAGCCAAGAAAACTCTATGGAGCAGTTCTACTCTGTAACACATGGGGTCACCATGAGTCAGGGGCCAACTCAATGGCAGCTAACAACAACAATAGCGTTTAAATCAGTTGATCTTAAGCTAAGCAGAAAACCCTCAGGAATGTGAATGGGCCTTATCCAATCAGTTGAAGGCCTTAAGAGCAAAAACTGAGGTGTCCTGAAAAAGGATTCTGTTTCAAGACTGTAAATAGACAAGACTGCTGGAGTTTCTAGCCTGCCTGACCTACAGATTTTGGGCTTGCCAGATCCCACAATCGCATGAGCCAATTCCTCAAAATACATCACTGTCTCTTGCTATAATCTCTCTCTCTTTCTATCTATCTATCTATCTACCTATCTATCTATCTCTTTCTTTCTCTCTTCTCTCTCTCTCTTTGTCATTCTTCCCCGCCTCCACCCCCCGCAGTCTTCCAAATCTCTGTCACAAAAGATACAGGGATTAGGATGCAAGATTATCATTTGGTGGGGTGGGGAAAGAGGACTAATAGTGGAAGGTGGGTGTACTAGTTATCTAGTGCTGCTATAACAGAAATACCACACGTGGATGGCTTTAACAAACAGAAATTTATTTTCTCACACTCTAGGAGGCTAGAAGTCCGAAATTCAGGGTGCCAGCTCCAGGGGAAGGCTTTCTTTCTTTGTCAGCTCTGGAGGAAGATCCTTGTCATCAATCTTCCCCTAGTCTAGGAGCTTCTCAGCCCAGGGACCCTGGTACTACTTTCTTGGTATCATGGTGTCCCTCTCCTCTCTGCTCGATTCTTTCTTTTATATCTCAGAAGAGATTGAATCAAGATACAACCTAATCCTGTAGATTGAATTTTGCCTCATTAACATAACTACCTCTAATCCTGCCTCATTAACATCATAGAGATAGGTTTTACAACACAAAGGAATATCACATCAGATCACAAAATGGTGGACAACCACGCAATACTGGGAATCATGGCCTAGCCAAGTTGACCCATATTTTTGGGGGACACAATTCAATCTATAACAGTGGGGAACACTCACATGTAGATACAAATCTTGTTCCCATCCCATAAGTGATAGAAAAGGTGGAACAAACCTTAAGCTGTGGAGAAGTTTCTCTTCAGGTGTTATTTTTCTGGAATTTAGGAGCAGACAGACTTTTGTAACTCTGGCTTTGTCAATACTATTAATTGTTCCACCGGGCTGGGGCTTGCTGATGATCATGATAACGGGGATTTGGTTGTGTGATATAATCTTGATAACTGTATTGAGAACTTTCCAGAAATTGTATCTCTAACTTAAGATCTTTGCTCTAAACACTGGAGGCCAAAGGCCAGAGCATGAATAGGGGTGATACTGAGGCAGTAACAGTGGCTGACAGGGCAGGGAATGAGGGTGGAGGGGAAATGGCTGGCCTACAGCTTCCTCCTCTTTGACAAAAAGAATCTATTTCTCCCATAAGAGAAACAAACACTAAAAAAGAAAAGAAATGGCCCAGTGCAAACACTAAACCATTCAATAAGATCAACTCCATCATGTATTAGTAGAGGGAACACATGAGATGATATGAAAGATGTACACCCACATTTACCCTCAACCAAACACACACACACATACACACTCACATCTGGATTAAAAATTATTTGCATCTTTTCTTTCCAGATACATCCTTCTAATTACATTTGAATCAGTGTGATATCTGCATTATTAAAACAGTTTTGTGGTCCCAGGGCAATGCCAGTTTTTAATTCCCTGGACACAGCATCTCTGCTTTGAAGGGAAAACTGCTTTATATGATTGCTGATGACCAAACATGCATTGCAAATTCAGCTACTGGACTTACTTCAAATAAGTAAAATGCTAAAAGCAAGACATTCTACTTGACTGAAAATTCCTTGGGGGGCAAAGTCATGTCTCATTTATATTTACGTATCCAAGAGACTTGCACATACCAGACTCTCATAAAATATTTATTACATTGATTCTGGTTCTGATATGGACACTAACTGCATAAACACCTCTCCATGCCTCAGTTCCTTCCACCATGAAATAAGATTGGAGTTTTAAACTCAAATGCTTTCAGGCCAAGGAAGCAGGTAAAGTGAATATGTGAAGCAGCAAAGGGTGCCAGTAGGGAGTAATAGGGTCTGTGAAAATCCACACTAGCAGTCAAATTTACTAAAACTGTGCTGATCTCTCCAAAAAATGTCTTCTGGTAAGATTTGGCTTTCAGATCACCTGCTTGAAATACTAAGATTTTTTTTTTCCCTTCCTCTAACATTCTTGAGTCTTTTGCTCTGGTTCACGTTCTTTTCTAAGGATGGAGAGAAAAAAATGTTGGGCAAGAGAGTGTTGAGAGGGGTGATGACTTCCAATCAGACCTCCCCATGTAGATACTGCTGTGTCCCTAACGTCTATGATGCAGTTCCACACTCAGAGGCCTCCTGTTGATCAATTAACAAATTCCCTGAAAAAGCTGCTTCTAAATTTTAATTTGGAGTCCCCAAGTGGTGTAAACACATAACACACTCAGTTGCTAACCGAAAGATTGGAGGTTTGAGTCCACCCAGGGTTGCCCTGGAGAAAAGGCCTGGCAATCTACTTCTGAAAAATCAGCCACTGAAAACTCTATGGAGCACAGTCCTACTGTGACACACATGGGGGCACCATAAGTAAGGCTTGCTCAACGATAACTGATGTATAAGTTTTAATTTAAAGTAAACTACTAAAAGAAGAACACAAGAAAAAACATTGTAGAAGGAACATCAAAGATGTTTGGAGTTTTCTGATTTATTAATCGCAGAAAGTAAGAATTTCATGAGAAGAAAGGGTCAGGATCATTAAAAATGCTGCCAGTGGTCCGCAGAAACATAGGGCAATCCCAGCACCCTGTGGGGAGGGATGGAGACAGATGCCTCTGGTTAGTCTAAGCAGAGAGGGCAAAGCCCACCTTATTGTTGGCCGTGTCATAGAGTAATATTCCTTGAGGAAGACATCTCCCAGAATCCATAGGGGCTGCCCAGTGAGGGAGGGCAGGTAAGTGGCCTCAATCCCAAGTCTGCAGTAGCCATTGTTCTAAAAAGACAAAGGACATGAAGATACAACCAGTTGCATTGTAGAGACCATTCTCCACAGGAACGTGACACTCTTGGGGTTCTCTGAATTCTTGCTCAGCTCAGCTTGGCCCCTGGTGATTCCCCATAGCTGACCAGATGTGAGCTGGGACATAGGACAGCAGTTTGGGCCCACCTCTTCACAGGATCCAGAGAGCCTAGGAGTAAATACGAATATTGAAGATATAGGCAGAGGGAGGCAGAGGGAACTGGAACCTGCTGATGATGAAGGTGATGGTGGGCATGCTCTGTAAGTAGTTGCAGTTGACCACAAACTGAGAGAGGGAAGAGGTAAAGCTGAGGAACCCCAGGGACTGGGAGCCCAGACAAGGGCTCAACACCCCCTCTTTTTTTTTCCTGAGTCACTTGTGAGACTCTCCCCTTGATCCTCCAGCAGAGGCTGCTTCAGGGTATGAAGGGCACGACCTGCTTCCCAGATACAACACTGACCAGGCCTTCTTGCTTTCTTGAGTCCTTTCCTCAAACATGTCTCCTTAAACACGTCTCAGCTCTTAGATTTTGGTTGTGTTACTATGACCGTAAGAAGTCAGGCTTACTCTAGAATGTAGTCTCCAGTCTCAGAAAGTACAATCTACAGAGAAAAGACATGAGCATGCTCACACTTGTAAAAAACACACTCTTGTGCACACTCATATCGACATTTGTTTGCACATGTCCATGAACTCAACACACACACACACACACACACACACACTGAGGAACCAAGATTTAGTGTGCAGGAAGAAGCAAAGTACAGATACCTGAACAGAAGGGAGCAGGTCTGTAGAGAGGAAGCTACTCAGAGGAAAACCCAAAGGTGTATTTCTAGGGAAGAAAGAAACCCAAGTGGAATGAAGAAATGTATTGTCCTCTGACTCTAAAATTCCAGTGCAGTCAAATGAGAGTGGGCAGACAAAGTTGCAATGTGCTCCTAGGACCTGCAGTGAATTAGTAGTACCTTCTGACAACCATTCACCCCAAACTCACAGTTTGGATGGAGTGAGAAACTCTCCCCCCTTGCCTGCTTTGCACTGAGGATTCATGGACTGAAATGCCATGCTTTGTCTCTACCTGATCTGTCCTTGCAGGGGCTCTGGTCCCCACCCAACCCTTCCTCGTCTCCCTTGGGAATTCATTGCACCCAGGCTCCTGTGTTGACGTTGTCCGGCAGTGCGGAGAAGCCATTGGCTTCTGGTTACTCACATCACTATTTTGGGCCCTCTGGGCTCCTGCTGCCTGAAAGGAGCTCATGTACTGCTGGGGAACAGCCAGCAGGAAGGTCCCAGCATCCACAATGGCTTGGCAGCCCTGGGAGTACAAGCCCGTGATCTGGTTACCGACGGCAAACCTGGGCAGGGGAGACCAGGATGAAGAGGGTCAGGTGCCTCTGCCACAAACCTGAGCCACGTCCACCCCTTCTCCCTCCAACTCAGCAGATTTAACATTCTGCCTCTTTCAGGAAGCTGGGCTACCAATATTATACATCTGCCCATGTAACATTTCTGTGCCTTTGTGATTACTGGTAGTGGTCATGATCATGAACTTTGGAAACATAGCTTGTATTTAGATCTTGACCTTATGAAATGCATGACTTTGGACAAGTTACTTAACCTCTGAGCCTTGGTTTCTTTATCTATAGCGTGAAATACATTGCCGACCTCCTCATAGTGTTGTGGAATTTTATGCAATAATATATGTAACGTATTTAGCATAGTGACTGGCACATAGAAAACATCAATGACAGCTGTTACTCTTACTGATGACAAAAGTGGTAAAGATGATGCTTCAAATATTCAAAGTGGGTGATGATGAAGCTTTCAGGAACAAAGTCATGGATTGATCTAGGAATGACCAATCTGCTGACCAATTCAAAAAGTTCAGGTAACAGCTAGATATCAGAGTTTACAAGGCTCCAGGCCCATCACAACCTGGAGGGTTTAAGTGATTCTTTAAGAAACCTGTGCAATGTGGAGGAAAGGTGTCAGCCATGACAGGAGCAGGAAACACTGTCATGCTGGAGGAGAACCTTATGAATGTTCACAATCCATAGGAACTGTTCTCTCTACTTATTCCTGGATGGCAATCTTCCAGTAGAGTTCCCAGGTGACAGGCACCCAGATGATCTGACCAGAATATAGTTGGGTGTCCACACCTCCCGGGATGAGCTCCCCACCATAATGACAGGCTGGTTGGCTAGGGAGAAATGTAGAAGAACTTGAGTTCCCACAACATGAACAGCAGGACAGGCAATTCCTCTCTCCTCTCTCCTTCTCTCCCTCCCTCAGACTCAGAGGTCAGCAGAATGGGGGAGTCACCTGGCTCAGAGCTGCAAGGGAGAGACACCTAAGAGTAACACTTAAGTATTAGACAATTGGAAGCACCGATTATGTCCATAAAGGAGAAGATGGAGTTGGAAGCTAGGCACCTGAAAACAAACCATAAAAGCATCCCAGAGAAATGCTCTCTGAGACAAAGTGAGGAAGAACAGAAACATCTCTGGTATCCCCTAGAATGGGGCTCAACAGAGATCTCCAGTGAGCTACGACTGGAATATTCCTACCATGGTCAGGTTGAGAACTAGACAATGTTGAAAGAAATTAGGCCTCTTGTGTTCACTATCCTGAATCTGTCAGTCATAGAAAAAAGAGGTTTGGACTTAGGTACCTGGAGGGTCGTGTGTTCAGGGAATATGGAGCAGGGAATAAAGTTTGCCACAAAAGTTCAAGGGCAGGTCGACTAGGAAAAGCACTAGATTTGTGATCAAGTTGTTTCAGTTTGAGTCATAGCTCCACATCTACCAGTGGGTGACCTTGATCAATATTGGCAACCTGTTTGAGCTTCCATTTCCTCACTGGTAAAGTGGGATTAATAACAGGGTTTTTGAGATGTCACTTGAAGCAATAAACCCAAGAATACTTTATAAAGCTGAAGGCATTATTATAATTATGATTTATTTTTCTCTTTATTAGAAAATGCTCATGAGGCTTGTTCTATGGAGCTACAATTGGGCAAATCCAAGACTTCAATCTCCAGATCTACAAAAATAAATGTTGAGGGAATACCACTCACTTTTAAGAAAAGAATCATCATATGGCTTTTGGCCTAGCATAATTAAAAATCTTACAGTATGCTTAAAATAAACCTCTCCCCCACCCAAATAAAATTCCTCACAATTTTTTTTAGAAATACTTGGATTCTATATAGCAAGTTATTGTGTCAGGAAACTTTATAACCTGGGCCATGTCTGCTCCTGGGTGTGGGCTGCATGGGTGCTCTAAAGCCAGGACAACGGGTGGGAGGACAGGTTCTTACTTAGAGAAGTAGAAGCTGAAGATGGGTTGAGTGAGCTGGCCCTGCTGCAGCATCCCCTGCATGACTGTTGGGACATTCCCCACCACCAAGTTTGGGTAGGCCATGCCCAGAATCCTGTCAAAGTCTGAATAGTAGAAGGGGTTGCTGGGTTCATTCTCACTCAGGCCAAACTCCTGGTTATTGATGACGATGTTCTGAACTTGGGGCGAGCAGACATAGGAGCTTACAACTCAGGTGGACTAATGCTTCACAGGGTCTGGCATCAAGAACCTCTCCTGGGGAGAGGACATTGGCTTCTTTGATGCAGAGCTCAACCATGAGGGTGGGACTGGAGGTGGAAGAGCAGCATTGTCACCTAACCATGTATGTGTCTGAGGGGAAAAATGTGTGAGTGTTGGGGAGGGAAAGGCAGCTGTTTCCTGGAGTTCCAGTTTCTCCCTCCATGAACAGTGAAAGGACAGCAACTGGGTTTATACTGAATAATCCATGTGGAGGAAGGATTAGAGGAACTGTGGGTGTTCGACCTATAGAAATAAGAAAAGAGTGAAAGGACATGTCTTCAAATATCCAAAGTGTTACTGTGTAGAAGAGGAGACAGATTTATTCTGTGTGGTTGCAGAAGGCAGAGTTAAGACCAGGGAGTAAAGTCACCAAAAGACAAACTTTAATACAACATAAAGAGCCTTCTAGTTATAAGGCCACCTGTCAGGACTGCTGTGGAAGCAATTCCTGACTTGGGAGGTTGAATTAGATGACCTTTGAAGTCCCTTCCAACTTTCAGCTTCTATGAAGGTTATACATAATTAGTAATCATTGATTTCTCTGATAGCTTAAGAGTCTAGAAAATGAGACCAAAACCACAAATTCTAGTAGGCTAAGAGAGCATCACTCACAGTCACGGTGTCGTATCCCAGGACCACACTCAGGCTGCCACTCCCACAGGACAGTGTACAGGTTTGTCCATTGTTTCTGAAGGTGGAGGACAGGCTGGGATTGAACCTGTTGTGATCAACTGTAGAGAGACAGAATGGAGTATTAGTGTCATTCACTGCTTTCCACAAGCACTTGGAGACAACTTATCCTCAATATCCTGAGATCTTCAGACCAAGGCTGAAATAGGGCATCAGCCTCAGATCCTTTGTACCATAGACAAACCGTGTTGGTCCCAGAAAAGTCCGTCCCATTGGATGATAGAAATTGCCCAGGTTCCTCCCAACCCATCATGAGCTGAGAGAAGGACTGGCTCAGAGGAGCCAAGATTTCCGGGCCAGAAGAGAGCTGAGGGGAAGGAGAAATGTAGAAAGGAATGGAAGCCTAGTGTACTTCTGCTGCCTCTCTCCAGAACAATCAGCAACTTCTGCTGAAGTACTTGACAGGCTAAGGATAGAATTTCTAGCTATTCCTAATATGAGGAGAATGAAAATAATGGTTATGTGCAAAAAAGTCTGGACTTAGAATTATCAACTGAGCTCAAATTCTGACTCTGCTACTTCTTAACTCACTCCCTTCCCTGCCCCTCCTCTGCTTCCAGCCGTAGAGGTGGGTTGTGATGGTGGTAGTCACAGCAGGTCTGGCTTTGGCAGTAGGTGGAGGGTACCCACAGGTTGGAGAAGCCAGTGTCGAAGAGGACCAGGAAATTTTGGGGTGGTGTCCTAATGCTGATCTTCCCAAAGTAGAGTGACTGCAAAGTAAGGTTTGTTAACTTCATTAAACTCTCAGCCTTGTCCTAAGGTGGGGAAGAAGTTAGCCCACTTTGCCCAGATCATTTCCTAGGAGGAATAAGAGGCTTCTCCCACAAGTTTTCCTTCCCATCTGGAAACAGCTCCTCTTTGATATCCCACCTTTTTGTCCCTAACTGCAAGTCTAGTCCTTTGACCATCTAAGATTTAATCTGGCAAGACAGTATCTTCCTCCAAGTGTGTTTGCTACTTTTGGTAAGGAGAAACCTCCATGGATTTGCCAGGGTATGCCAGAACACACTGAATTAGAGAAGTAATCACTTTTCTCTCCCTTTTCCAGTATTCATCTACCCTTTCCACTTCTCTCTGTCTCACACACACCCTTCTCCCCTTCTCTTCCAGTGTTAGATACTTTTACCACCATTCTCCTCTTTCCTGGTCACACACTAGCAAAGGGTACAAACTAAAAAAGTTTGGGGTGAGAGGCAGCATAGAGATCAAGAAGAGCATTTCACTAGGAGATAGCTTAACTTCTAAGTGAATTTGGCGATTCTTTCACTTACCTGACTCTAGTTCCTTCCTCTATAAAATGTGGGGTACCATATGACCCAGAAATTCCACTCCTAGGTATATATGCAAAAGAATTGAAAGCAAGGACTGAAATATATACTTGTACATGAATGTTCATTGCAGCATTAGTCACAATAGCCAAAAGATGGAAACAACCCATGTCCATTAACAGATGAATAAACAAAACATGGTATATCCATACAATGGAATATTTTTCAGCTATAAAGAGAAATGAAGTTCTGATACATGCTACAATATAGATGAACCTTGAAAATATGCTAAATGAAATAAAACAGACACAAAGGAACAAATATTATGTGATTCCCCTTAGTAATCAAATGCATATAGACAGAAAGTAGATTAGTGGTTACTGGGGGTTGTGGGGAGAGGGTAATGGGGAGTTGTTGCTTAATGGATACAGAGTTTCTGTTTGGGGTGATGAAAAAGTTTTGGAAATAAATAGTGGTGAGACGATGGTTAAAAAAATGTGGGAGTTGAAATAGGAGACCCCCTAAGGTACCTTCCAGCTTTGACATTCTACATAGCAGCTCATTAAGGATAAGTGTATAGCAAACTAGAGGGTCGAGATGCCCTGATCAGACATTATAGCCTTGAGAACATTAAAACATTTATTCTGAGGACCAGCAGGGAACATGTATACTTTTCCACTGAAATAGTGTCTGGAGGCACTGGAGATTTTGTTGCATGGCCTGGCAGCCTCACACGTGTTTTCCTTCTTTCCCCTTGTAGCTCTTTGCTAGGACTTGGTTTGGATCTCTCAATTGACTCAAACATTCCGTCTATGAATCTCGTAACCATATGAATGGACTTTAGAGAGATGGGCCAGTAATGAGAGGAAAGGGAAAAAGAAAAGGAACTACTATACTATTAGATGGTACCAATTCACAACTCTATTATTCAGATACAAGGGTGAGACTTAGAAAGGTTTAGTAACTAGTTCAAAATCGTAGCTAATGAGAGGTAAAAATGAGTGTCTGAGAATGGTTATTAGCCAAGGGTTATGAACAGTGCCCCCCCACTCCCACCCACATCCATGTAGTTAGTGATGGCCTCTGTCTTAGGCTGGGTTCTCTAGAGAAGCAAAACCAGAAAAGCGTATAAATATATATAGAGAGATTTATATCAAGGAAACAGCTCATGTGATTGTAGAGGCTAGAACGTCCCAAGTCCATGGATCAGGGTAGAGGCCTCTCCCAAGTTACACAGCCACAGAAGCTAGCCAGCCCAAGATTGGCAGGTTGGAGAGCAGGGCTCCCGCTCACAGGCTGTGAAGGTTGACGAATTCCAAGATCGGCAGGAAAGACCATGAGGTTTCTCCTGATTCATGTAGCTGCAGGGGCTGGCGAACCCAAGATCTGCAGTTCAGAGAGCAGGGCTCTGCTCACAGGCTGTGAAGATCGACAAATCCCAAGTTCGGCAGATAAGCTGACAGCTCAAGTCCCAAGAACCAGAGGCGAGACAACAGGAGGCAGCTACAGGATCCAGAGTGAGCAAAAAGCCAGAACATCTGCTTATATTTAGATGCAGGCCACACCACCAAGGAAACTCCCTTTCATCTGATTGGCTACTCACAGCATATTCAATCATGGGAGTGATCATATATAAACACTGAGAATCATAGCCCAGCCAAGCTGACACACTATCTTAACCATCACAGGCTCATAAGAAACAGCATCATTATTGAAATGATACTTGGCAGCTGGATCAACCTTTGGGTGGGTCTTTAGGAATGTCTCCAGTACACCATGCTCCTCCATCACCTGGCAAGTAGACTAAATGATTCTATGGAGAATCGGGTAAACAAAAGGGATGAGCCTCACCTTGCCCCATTAAAACTACTCCTTCAATGATCTGGCCTAGAGTCTTCAAACCTCTTCAACACTCTGCTCAAGAAGAGCCTTCTTACAGGAAATCCTCTCAGATTCTAGCCAGCTCTGACCACTGTAACCATTCCAGCATCCCCAACATAGGTATACACAAACTCACATAATTTTATTTTTTATGTTGCTGTTTGTTTTTTGCTTATGTATTATTTCCCAAGAATAAATGTCTGTTTCTTCCAAGTCCCTCTTATAAGCCTCGGGCAGGGATTATGCATCCTTCCTTCTTGGAAAACAAAACACCCACCCTACCACCCTTATAAACTCACATCCTCCCCCCTCGCCCACACACACATGTACTCACATACACACATACGCATGCACACAGACACATTTAATACACACCATCCATCTATTTCAAATCTTGGGCCACAGTAGGTGCTCAGTTCTTCATACTGAGTGACACACTGACTACCTCTCCAGGAAGCTTCAGAAAAAGAAAGCCTTTGGTCTTCTCTATTCTTGTTAGGCTCCCTGAGGGCTGGAATTCACAAGGAAGCTGAATCCCAGCACACACTTTTCCAAACCCTCTGAGCAGTGTAGACAAACCAAGACCAAGACCATGAGGTTCATGGTGGTGATTTTCAACTCCCTGCCAGCACGCAAGACACTGTGGCAGAGCACATGGAGGGAGATTAGGTCTCTCTTTTATATCCTGGGCTCTGCACTTTTGGTCTCTAGGCACATGGGCTTTCCTACCTTTGTACCAGCTTGTGCCCCTCCACATACAAGGATTTTGTTGTCTTTCCCTCTGGTGGGCGTAAATGACTTTAATATCTACTCCATAGTCAACAACTTAAAAAGCAATTAATGACTTTGCGGACGCAGTCCAAGGATTAGGATTTGACAACAAACATAAAATGCACTGAGGACAAAGTATCCTGGTGGCCTGTGTCTACTGAGAAATGGGTGCTGGAAACTTCTACCAGAACAATGGAACAATTTGCTGTTTGGCTCCAAAGGACATGTGCTTTTTTGAGATTTACAGTCTATCTTCACTTCTTTCCCTCCTTCTCCCCCGTCTTCTGCTCTGTCTCATCTATAGCCTTCCATATATGATTCTCATAGTCCATGTCATTCTTTGCTCTTTGTTCTTTAATTATTTTTTAGTTCATAAAACAGCCATTTAATGAATGCCTACTCTGTACTCACCTCTGTACTAAGCTCTGGGAATGCAAAGATAATTAAGAAATGATTCCTGTATGCAAAGGTCTGCATTCTTGCTTGAGTAACTGACACACAATCAAATTATGAGGCACTGTGATCACCCGAGGCATTCAAATGTTTGTTGAATGAATGAAGGTGATAATAAAAGTATTCATAACGCAAGCAGAGAGAATGGGTGATAGTTCCTGGTGGCTTGGGAAAGGCTTCACAAAGGAAGTGACATTTGTGTAAGTATATTGCAGAATGCTGGATGAGGGAGTAAGGGAGGTGAAAAAGCCATTGAAGCAGAAGAAAAGCTTGAGCAATGGCAAAAAGGAGGGAAGATGTGTGATAAGCTCAGAGAACATTATGACCAACGTGGTCAGAAGAATAGTGGCTCCTCACCAGCCCAAAACAGATCCAAAGGACTTCCCCCTGGGTGTGCACAATTCTGAGCATGTTACCTACAACTCTGAAAATTTTTTGATATTCTAGAAACCACATGAAATGGAAGGACTGTAATGCAGTAAGAGGAATAATCTTGAGTCTACAATACTATATTAAAGCAGTACATATTCAGTATCTTCAATGTTTTAACTATTAGTACTATCAAAATATTTATTATATGCCTCATAACTGATTACAACACACTAGCAAACCATTGATAGACCCACTGGACTACAGTAGTAAGTATCTACATGGGTATGATCAGGTGCACCATTCCGTGCTGTGCTAAGGAATATTGACTTTGTCCTGTAAGCTGTTAGGAGACATCAATGTTTTTAATCCAGCAAATGACACACTTAATGAATGCCCTTCCATCTACAATTTAGACATAGCCTTTTGGATTGGAGACTATTAGAAGCAATGAGTAAAAGAAGCCAGTCACCAAATGATTCCCTAAGTTAACTTGTGGTCATGAGAGGAGTTACTAGAACTTTGCTATGAATCTACCCTGAAGCTTGAAGCTATGTACAAACCCAAGGAAGGTTTCAACTTCATATGTGTGATTTCATCTTTCTTTATAGAAATAAGGTTTTTAAAGGGAATCTTAAGAGCTACAGAGATATCCTTATAATGACAATATCTCACGTTTATTGAGCATTGATTGTACATAAGATATACATTTTATTTAATCATCACAACAATTTTATGAGGTTAATTTAACTTCCCAAAGATCACACAGTTCATAAAAGGCAGAGCTGGGATTTCATGTCTGGTTTGTCTGACCTCAGAACCTCTTTCTAACCATTACTCTGCACTGCCTCCTCCTCTAGGTGTGGTGTGCTCAAGCTTTCTTTGCTTAAATATTCATGAAAGCATCAACTTTAATTATAAACACAAAAAGATTTATGTTTGCTTATTTTTTTAATAGAAAAATATTTTAATTGCTTCTCTCATTCTTCCTAGCCTTCTTCCTTCCGACTTGTTACACTGCTGCCACCTAGTGGTAATGCTTCTCACTTACAAAAACAGGTTTTTGAAAGGTTAGAACACGTTGTCCATTGAACCTCTCCGTAGCAGTGATTCTTGTTTGAAGATTAGGCTCAGTCTGGTTCAACTTTCTACATACGGTCCTATTGTCTATATGTCGTATTGACCCTTTTCGATATCCCAGAACACTCAGAAGCTCCCAGAGATGAAGGGTAAGGACCTTGTCATCTAGAGGGTGAGTGATGTGCAATGGAAAAATCCCTGTATCTTGTACATAGGTGGAACCAAACACATCTTTCCTCCTTTCCCCCCTCACACTCCACTCTGCCCTAAACCAGGATCCTGGTACAATGGACCACTTTTACACTTACGAAAAAGAGCTTACAAAAAGAATAAAGGAAAGAATGAGCATCTCGGTACCACTTACAACAGAAAGCACTAGAACATTTAGAATGTGTGATCCTCATTGCCAACAGGACAGATTGGCACTAGCAATAAACATGGTGCTCATAAACAGAAGAAGTCTAAAATTGTTGACTAGGCTCCCATATCCTTCACGTGATTGTCAGTTTGTCATACTGTGGTGGCTTACGTGCTGCTGTGATGCTGGAAGCTAAACCACTGGTATTCAAATACCAGCAGGGCCACTAATGGTGGACAGGTTTCAGCTGAGCTTCCAGACTAAGACAGACTAGGAAGAAGGAGCTGGCGGTCTACTTCTGAAAAGAATTAGCCAGTGAAAACCTTATGAATAGCAGTAGAACATTGTCTGATACGGTGCCGGAAGATGAGCCCCCTAGGTTGGAAGGCGCTCAAAAGATGACTGGGGAGGAGCTGCCTCCTCAAAGTAGAGTTGACCTTAATGATGTGGATGGAGCCAAGCTTTCGGGACCTTCATTTGCTGATGTGGCATGACTCAAAATGAGAAGAAACAGCTGCAAACATCCATTAATAATTAGAACATGGAATGCATGAAGTATGAACCTAGGAAAATTGGAAATCATCAAAAATGAAACAGAACACATAAACATCGATATCCTAGGTGTTAGTGAGCTGAAATGGACTGGTATTGGCCATTTTGAATCGGACAGTCATATGGTCTACTATGCCAGGAATGACAACTTCAAGAGGAATGGCATTGCATTCACTGTCAAAAAGAACATTTCAAGATCTATCCTGAAGTACAACGCTGTCAGTGATAGGATAATATCCATACACCTACAAGGAAGGCTAGTTAATATGACTATTATTCAAATTTATGCACCAACCTCTAAGGCCAAATATGAAGAAATAGAAGAGTTTTACCAACTTCTGCAGTCTGAAATTGATCAAACATGCAATCAGGATGTATTGATAATTACTGGTGATTGGAATACGAAAGTTGGAAACAAAGAAGAAGGATCGGTAGTTGGATAACATGGCCTTGGTGATAGAAATGATGCTGGAGATGGCATGATAGAATTTTGCAGGACCAATGACTTCTTCATTGCAAATACCTTTTTTCAACAACATAAACGGTGACTATACACATGGACCTAGCCAGATGGAATAGACAGGAATCAAATCGACTACATCTGTGGAAAGAGACGATGGAAAAGCTCAATATCACCAGTCAGAACAAGGCCAGGGCCAACTGAAGAACAGACCATCAATTACTCATATGAAAGTTCAAGTTGAAGCTAAAGAAAATTAGAACAAGTCCACAAGAGCCAAAGTATGACCTTGAGTATATCCCACCTGAATTTAGAGACCATCTAAAGAATAGATTTGATGCACTGAACATTAAGGACCAAAGACCAGACAAGCTGTGGAATGACATCAAGGACATCATATGTGAAGAAAAGCAAGAGGTCATTAAAAAGACAGGAAAGAAAGAAAAGACCAAAATGGATGTCAGAAGAGACTCTGAAACTTGCTCTTGAACATAGAGTAGCTAATCATAATGGAAGAAATGATGGAGTAAAAGAGCTGAACAGAAGATTCAAAAGGCAGCTCAAGGAGACAAAGTAAAGCAGTATAATGACATGTGCAAAGACCTGGAGTTAGAAAACCAAAAGGGAAGAACACGCTTAGTATTTCTCAAGCTAAAAGAACTGAAGAAAAAATTCAAGCCTCGAGTTGCCATATTGAAGGTTCTATGGAAAAAATATTAAACAATGCAGGAAGCTTCAAAAGAAGATGGAAGGAATACACAGAGTTACTATACCAAAAAAAATTGGTCAACGTTCAACCATTTCAGGAGGTAGCATATGATTAGGAACTAATGGTACTGAAAGAAGAGGTCCAAGCTGCACTGAAGGCATTGGTGAAAAACAAGGCTCCAGGAATTGACAGAATACCAACTGAGATGTTTCAACAAATGGATGCAGCACTGGAAGTACTCACTTATGCATGCCATGAAGTTTGGAAGACAGCTACCTGGCCAACTGATTGGAAGAGATCCATATTTATGCCTATTCCAAAGAAAGGTGATCCAACCAAATGTGTAAATTATCGAACAATATCACTGATATCGCAAGCAAGTAAAATTTTGCTAAAGATCATTCAATAGTGGCTGCAGCAGTATATCAACAGGTAACCAACAGAAATTCAAGCCAGATTCAGAGGGGGATGTGGAACGAAGGATATCATTGCTGATGTCAGACGGATCCTCGCTGAAAACAGAGAATACCAGAAAGATGTTGACCTGTGTTTTATTGACTATGCAAAGGCATTCGACTGTATGGATCATAATAAATTATGGATAACGTTGCGAAGAATGGGAATTCCAGAGCACTTAATTGTGCTCATGAGGAACCTGTACATAGATCAAGAGGCACTCATTCAAACAGAACAAGGGGACACTGCATAGTTTAAAGTCAGGAAAGGTGTGCTTCAGGGTTGCACCCTTTCACCATACCTACTCAATCTGTATGCTGAGCAAATAATCCAAGAAGCTGGACTATATGAAGAAGAGGGCATCAGGATTGGAGGAAGACTCATTAACAACCTGC